TTAATACCCCATGCATGAACCACTCTCGGAATCATATTTGTTTATTAATCGGTAAACATTACAGCATGAAATAAAACTAAATAACTATGAGTAGGACTTTTTGGCGGGATCGGGCAGCGTCACTTAAGCAGTTTTGTTTTTCTTGTTAAAAATTGTGTTGTGGCGGATGTTAGTGTCTAATAATGGTGGATTTTTAACCACTAAGTGTTCGGGAACATGTACAAGTGTTGGCAAGTGAAACAAAATAGCGGAAAGTGTCTTTCGTCGTTCCCTCAAGAAGTCCACGGGGAGGTTCCAGTAAATCCCCACACTTTTACTGAAACATGGGGAAAGGGGGATTGACTTGACTGCCACTTACTTTGACTTGACTTATTACTTTGACCACGAGTGCTATAGTATTTGTTATCATTTTAACACTTGACATTGGCTAAATGCACAAGCCGTGCGAAGCCATTTAGAAAGAAAAACTATGAGTATAGTAAGTTACTATTAGTATACTTACGTCTGTTCTGTTAAGTATCTTATCTTGCTCAAAGATGTGATGTGTGATATTATGATTATTACATTTTATTTAAAAAAAACAATCATTAACCGCTTCATTAAAAATTGATAAAGATTTTCTTTAGTTAAAGGTAAACGTATTTATGTTCATTTTTTATATGAATTAACATACTAATTTATCCAATGACCCAACTTGGAAGATATCATAAAACGGTAAATAAAACCTGTCTTATGGCGATGTTGTTGATAATAAATCCACATATCCAATACAACTAGGGTTACCAGATTGAGAAATCAAAACTTCTGGACAATATTATAGAATATCTGGACATTAGGATTTTTGGCTGGACAAAAAAAATCAGCATGACTATAAAAAAATCTTATTATTACAAAACAGAGGAACCTTAATTAAACAAAATTAATATGAATTAACTTTTTGCCACATACATTAATCAGCATTATCATATTTTTTTTACTATTACAAAACAAAGGAACCTTAATCAAACAAAATTAATATGAAATCACTTTTCCTGCCACATATTAGCATTTCCTTTAGCCGCATTTATCATTTTAGAACCTTTATCTGTATTTAGAAAAGATTTAAAAGTACAAGTTTCGTCAAAGTTCAATCGAATTATTGAATTCAATCCCGGGCATAGATAGCAAGAGGCTGAGAGGCCGCAGCGGAGGCAGTGTTGCCAACTCAGTGGAAAACCACTAATACTGGTGGTTTTTAATTTTCAGCTTCATTTTTGCTGGACATTTTGCCTAAAACCGGGACACTGGACAACGTGTGAAATAGCTGCACAATCTAGCCAAGTCCAGTCAATCTGGCAACCGTAAATACAACGTAGGTAATTATTAATCCGATAGGTATTTTATATAAATACACTAATGACTCAGTTACACTTGTCGTTAGCCCGTATTCGGATGCACATTGCTCGAATTCGAGAACCCGAAGCAATATTCAGAGTTGAATACGGGTAGGGATGCGGATAAAGTATCAATACCTGAGTATACTCGAAACTTTTGTTTCGATACTAAGTACTTGATACCGATACTGAGATACCGAAGTAAGATTCAAAACTATTTAGATTACGCGATACTTTTTTGAGTGCTTGACTTACTTACTATGCCAGCCAACTTAGCACTCCAAAAAGTATAGGGACAATTCAAGTCTTAAACTGTCTTCTATTTACACCATTAACATATCTATAGACTCTGTTACCGAGGGAAGTCCCGATCAAAAATTGAGAAACTAATGTTACTAGTAGTCGCTTCAACAAATTATGGTAGCTAAATTGATTTGTGATTTGGACAACTCGATCGTAAAATAAATTAATATTTTATAGTATAATAAAGTCAATACAGTTTATGATCCAGATATTGATAAAAGTCGATACAGCTGCTCAGTATTTATGGACCTAGTAGTTTTATTTATAAATAGGAGCTCAGTTAAATTAGTAATTATTTGAGTAAATATTTTCAATTAAAAAAAAATCCACCACCAGCTATGTAGACGTTACCTGCTAGCTTTAGGATCCTGCCGAGGATCCAAAACAAAATCCATTTATATGTATAGTTAGACAGTAAAAGTACTCGACACCCGAGTAACTCAGTACTTTTTATCCGAAACCGATGTCAGTATCGATACTTTTCATTCGATACCAATCATTGAGTATCATACTATATGATATCGATACTTTTGTTTCGATATCAGATCCCTAAATACGGACAGGAAGACAGTATCGGGTAACCAAAACGAAAATTACCCGAACAGTACTTCGTCGTTTACCCGAATTCCATTGTCACTCGTATTCGGACTAACAACCAAGTATAATCGCGCCATAAGTTAAGAAAGATAAAGTCAAGATAATCATCTTGTGTTTTTTATTAAGATTGTCTCACCTTATCCTGAATAAAGTTATTATTTACTATTTTTTCTAACTGTATTAAACTTAAGCGAAACTTAAATTAAGAGTGTATAAACAATTCTCTTTTATACGGAGATAAAGACCACAATAGAGGAAATTCTTAGAGAAATGTATAGTTAGGAATTAAAATATATGCGACTAGCGGCCCGCCCTCGCTTCGCGTCGGTGTAAAGCTGAAGTGTAGACTACAGTTTTTGTTCTCAGGCTTGTATTATACATAATGACATTTATCTATGATTCTTCTTATACCTGCGTGCAAAGTCTCAGCCATATCAGTTTAAAATTGACAAAGTTTCATACAAACTTTAATTCCCTATTTTATCCCTTTGAGGGTAGAATTGATCAAAATCCTTTCTTAGCGGATGCCTACGTCATAACATCTACCTGCAGGCCAAATTTCAGTTCGATCCGTCCAGTGGTTTGGGCTGTGCGTTGATAGATCACTATGTCAGTCAGTCACCTTTGAGTTTTAAATATATAGATTGATGTTGGTACTTTATTTATAACGTTATGTAAGTATACGTATGTTTTTATAATTTATGTTTTTACTTCGTCCTGTTTTGTCGGATGTCATGCGACTGTTTAATTTAAATTATTATAATGGCGATGAAATTTACGACTTGACTTGAAAGATCAAGGATCACAATATTTACTCCCCACGCAAAAAATATAAGGTATGTAAAATTGATAAAAATCTAATCCATAAAAATGATTTATACTTATAAATTTTGAGGGCGACATTACAATTATGGCCAATTTAAATGAAATTCGTTTGTTCTGCTTTTTCGATCATGAATTCATTCATATGTATAGTAGAAAGTAAAAGTACTCGATACTTTTTATCCGTAACCGATATCACTATCGATACTTCCATTCGATACTTATAATTGAGTTTCATGTAATATTGATACTTTTATTGTACCTATAATGATTTTAGGGCGAATATAAGAAATATTTTAAACTCATCCAAATATAACGTTACGTCAAATCATAAACATTTTATTTTTGAACCCGTCAAGATATTAAGTTATGAAGAAACATGGCATTGATTTATTTATCAATAAACTAATAAACTATTCCACTCCAATCCAGCTATACCGGTAGTGTGTGTAGTGAGCATCCAAATTAATATTTGTCTAGGAAGCAAATTATATGAGACACGATTAGAATATTAATAAAAGCATACAGCGTCACTTGATATTTTTTTAAATGAGGACATTTTAATGCTGGAGTGGGAGCTAAAGATAAAAATCTAACATCCGTGCACAAATAACTTGTAATTTGAGTTTTTATATACCTAGTTAGGTAGTTAGGGAAACTATTAAATGACGATGTAGGCTGATAACGTTCGCACAAACATCATCAGCCAAAATGACTTTATCATCAGCCTATTAATGTCCCAACATTAAGAGGGTAGGCGGGTAATAATTTTTCCATTCAGACGTTTTTAGACTGATTCCTCCTCGATTTTATCACTAATGAAATTATTTTCATACATAAAATATGATTTTACTAATTATTCTTTTTTTCGATTAATTACTAGTTTTTCCAAGTATCAAGAAGCTCTCAAAAATGCCCAAACAAGACTATTTTTTATCACCACTAAAGACGTCTAGTGCAGAAAAAACGCTTAGTACAGCTGCTTATGGGCGAAATTAACTTTTAGATGTAAAGATTTAATTTTTGAGCATAAAATTGTTGAGAGGCAAACCTCGAATTTTTTACAAATTTTCTTTTCCATATTCAGTGGTAGCTGCAGTTATTCCTATCGCACGGTATATTATTACGCGAGCGCCAAAGCACGACAGCAATACGTGTTTCAAATATCAATTTTCTAAATGTCTCCAGTTCGCGTCTTCATTTAATAGACTGATGATGATAGTATGATTCTACTTGGATCATGAAGGGAGATTAAGCCATGCGATAATCCACCACGCGGACCTACTGCCGTGATCGCAGACTCAACGTGCTTACTATTATAGGTAGACCGCTTAACTGATTCCCCGCCTACAGGCAGGCACATTCGTGTCAAAATTACAAGCGCCCGCCGCCCGCACCTGTCACGGACCCCTTTCTCGTCCTTCCCCACACCCTTTACCCCGCAGGCGAGGACTCAGTTAAGCGGTCTACCTATAGCGCCATCGAACCTCTTCACCGTCCTTAAACTAAAGTTTACCTTAGGAAAACTTTTTTCCTATTGTACCAAAATTTAATCTATGGCAAGCCAAGTTTTTGCTCAGGCCCCTTACGGTTTGCACCAGCACTCCATTCCAAAATTTGTAAATTAAATCAAATCAAAGTATAGCTCAGTACTGAATGCCTCTCACCCAAGAAATATCTAAATACCCACTGCCCCTGTGTGTTGCAAAATAAATAGGAAAGTACCAGGATCGGCGGCGGGGTGGTCCTTGTCGGAACATGTGGAAAAACGGTACTTTTTGGTGAGAACCTTTGATTTTTGTTAGATTGCCGCGGACCGGATTTCAACCATTCGAGACACGGAGGTGGTGCGGGGATCGTAGTTTTCCCATCCCTGTTTAAAGTTAATAATGATGTCTGTTCCAGGACGGACGAACGCGGCATCGGCATGAAGGTATACAACTTCGTGAGCGTCGCGCTGGAGATAGCCGTGCTGTACGTGAAGATGACGGCCATGTGGATATACTGCATCTACGAGTTCTTCGTGCCGCCGGAGCCGAAGAGCGTCAAAGGAGAAGTTATACTTGTGAGTCGAAGTTTTTATTGAATACCCGTTGTCCTTCCTACCATCATCAACCTATTAATGTTCCTACATACCATCCCTATGGATGGAATAGGGTAATGGGGCTGTGACTCACCACTCGGGCCCAGTGCAGATTGGTGGGTGCTTACGATTGCAGATGCAGCCGTGCCGAGCTCCAGATCATAAGTTTTTGGACAACCATCTAATTAAAGATCATTTCCAAAAGTTGCTTAATTTTCACCATCGCAGGCCGAATGCGCTAACCACCTGAGCCATCGAGCTACTCGTATAATACAGACGCAACATTTTCTTCTTCATAATAGGAAAGCTTCGATTGCTTTTGTTGGCGATTGTAGAAGTGGATCCAGGAAATTGGTGTATTGGACAAAGAAACGGAAGACGAGTGCTAGCGGGAGTTTCTATTGAAGGTTCAAGCGCTGCTCAGTTTGGGAATAGATAATTCTTCTGGATTGATTCATTATCCGGTTATTAATAAGAGTTTAAGTTTTAAAGAGTTTACTTCCTACTTTTAAGATTACGGGGTCAGGTCACGGCATGGGCCGGGAAACTGCGCTGCGGTTCGCGCGGCTCGGCGGCGTCGTGGTGTGCGTGGACATCAACCCGAAAGGCAACTTGGAGACCGTCGACCTCATCAAGGAAGAGAAGGGAAAGGCCCACCACTATGTGTAAGTTTAACGTCGTATTCACCCGCTGATCAAGACTTGGCATGGCTAGCGTTGTTGAGCTCTAACTGCGACTGTTTCAAGAAGAATATATATATATGTGTGTTTTTTTAATCGGATTGTTGTAGTTGTTGTATGTATTTCGGTAGTTTTATTGAATGAGTCACAGTACCACTCTCAGCTCGAGGCTGCTAAGATTTTGGTACTATACCATACCCTACTGATACTATACCAGGTGTAGTAGGTTCAAAGAAAAAAAAAATATTAAGGAGAGGAGGATGCTAAGATAACTTTAAGGTCTAGTAGAAGAAAAATGAGAAATGTGAGGAAATTTCATTTCGAATTTCGAATTCGGCCACGGAGGTCGTCAAACAATAATAATAATAATAATAATAATAATAATAATAACGTTTATTTTATTCTCACCACAATACAAATATTTTGTTACAGACATAAAATATTATTCGTATTTACAGTAATATATTGTGGAGAGACTGGTGTCTAAACTGGGCAGTAAACTGCCTGTATAATAGAACACCAGGCCCCCAGCCCATATCCCTGCAAAATTATTAAAATTTATGATAATCTATTTAACAAAACTGTGAATGAAATGAAACTCAAGCAGTTATGAAGCTGACCAGCTGCGCCCGGATTCGGCTCTTGTATAAAGAGATTACTTTGTGGGTGTTTTATTTTCCTTTAGCAAATTATAAAATGCGCTTCGCTGCACCCCAATGTGCGCCGGTAAGTGTGAATCGTCATTAACTGAGCTGATGCTGTGTCCAGATGTGACGTGACTAGCCGTGCTGCGGTGAACGATCTGGCGGAAAAGGTGCGACGTGAAGTTGGCGAGGTGACGATGCTTGTGAACAACGCGGGCATCATGCCCTGCAAGCCACTGCTGCAGCACACCGAACAAGAAGTGCGAGCGGAGTTCGAGGTCAACATACTAGCGCATCACTGGGTAAGTTCCACACTATGGAGTATTCAAATAAATATTTTGATTCGATCTGATGCAGATTTAAAACCCAGGAAACAATGAATGAATTAATACTCTTTATTGCACTATTACAAAAAACAAACATAAAACAGGAACGCAAACACAAAAGGCGGCCTTATTGCTATGGTAGCAATCTCTACTAGTTACTGAACTATTTACAAAGTACTAACCCAAAAATTTTGCACTGGGCATCAGTGTGGATTCCCACGAGCGGCGCGAAAAGATATACCCGATCAAATTACACGTGTTTTATAAGTGATGATCTCAGTATTAGTTATTTTTATATTATTTCTTTGGAAAACTTACAGCTATTATTTATACATGGAGGCTATTCGCCTAACGGAAATGATTAAGAAAACGCTAACGCTTTCGATTTTGTTATTTCTAGCTGCCTGAGGTTTTCAAATACCTCACGCTCATTTTCTTTAATATTGTTATTAACAATGCAAAAGAAAAAAAAAGAGCGCGAGGCATTTGAAAACCTCAGGCGGCTAGAAATAACAAAATGAAATCGTAAGCGTTAGCGTTTTCCAAAGCATTTCCGTTAGGCGAATAGCCCCGTGGTATCTAATTTGGTTAACTACTAGCCAATAACAAATTTTTCACATATAAAAATAATACATAGCTTATCAATTTCTGAAAGTAGGTATACAAGGTAATGGCAAAAAAACTCATAAAACGCCGCTCGTGGGAATCCACACTGATGGCCAGTGCAAAATTTTTGGGTTAGTACTTTATAAATAGTTCAGTAACTAGTGCTCGCCTCAACGCCGCAGTACTGTCATAAAATATATCCAGATTCGCGTTGTTACTTAATGAATAATTGACATGAACGTACAAGATAACTATTTGGTCGATATTTCGTATGCACTAAGGGAACTTGCAATTTGAACTCTTTGCTACGAGTAGTGAAGCTTCGTGGCACAATAACTTAGTAGCCAAAGAGGCTGTAGATCTCTCTGGCTATCCCACTAAATGGCGGCGTAAGGATATGTACTTTATATTTATATGATCTAAAGTTGGCTTACACCCACCACCCAGAAAATAATAGTTCGATTCCTAATTTTTGTTATGCCTATGACTTTATAGCAACTAAGTATTAGTAAGTCATCTGTGCTTTGTATCTATATAATATTGATTGATTTACGTGATTTACTTCATTCTGCCTGAAAGTAAGTGTGAGTGGAGTTCAGTCGTAAAATAAGATTTATGTCAAAACAGTACCTGCTACCTATTTATTTGTATTCAACTATCCACAATGAGTTCCTAGAACAAGCAGGAAAAAGTTAGTTCGTTCCCACGTCCGGCAGGATCGCTGCTTGTTTCCATAGAAACTTTGACGTTGGCAATACTAATACGTTCTGAGGAGCTATTCTCGCTTATCTCTCCATCACCTTTTCTTCAGAGAACCACGCGCGCTGGCCTACGTTGCCACCGACTTACTGTGGTCACTATTCCTACACGAACAAAGAAATTTGGCGATTCATTTCTTTGTCGTACTATTCGTAAGTGGAATTCTTTACCCGCGCACGTGTTCCCTCCTTTTTATAATCTGAGGTCCTTTAAGAGAGGCGTGAAGAAGCATTTTTGCGGGCCGGCAAGGTGAGGATGGTTGGTGTAGCAGTTTATAACTGCTGTAACAGCTATCTTTGCGTTTCGACTTTACCACTTAACATCAGGTGGGGTAGAGTCATTTGCCTACTTAGTTAGGCCTGGGGTACGGTACTCCGAATGATATCGTTACATATGGTCTTTACAGTTAGTGCAAGCGTTTCTGCCGAATATGATGGAGCGCAACCACGGCCACATCGTGGGCATGTCGTCGATGGCGGGCGTGGTGGGGCTGCGCAACCTGGTGCCCTACTGCGCCACCAAGTTCGCCGTGCGCGGCTTCATGGAGGCACTGCATGAGGAACTGAGAGAAGACCCCAGAGACTACAGCGGGGTTAGTTTACCGAAGGCTTATCATAATGAGTGTTTTGTCGCTATATAGGGACTTCATGGTTTTATTGGAGGAAAAGCTACTCGGACTCCAAGGACTACAATGGGGTAAGCTGGCCGTAGCAGTATTATAATCATTGTGCTCTGAAGATTTATAGGCATACTGCGCCACCAAGTTCGCCGTGTGCGTCTTCATGGAGGCACTGCATGAGGAGCTGAGAGAAGACCCCAGGGACTACAGCGGGGTTAGTTTACCGAAGGCTTATCATAATGTGTGTTTTGTCGCCATATAGGGACTTCATGTTTTTATTGGAGGAAAAGCTACTCGGACTCCAAGGACTACAATGGGGTAAGCTGGCCGTAGCAGTATCATAATCATTGTGCTCTGAAGATTTATAGGCATACTGCGCCACCAAGTTCGCCGTGTGCGTCTTCATGGAGGCACTGCATGAGGAGCTGAGAGAAGACCCCAGGGACTACAGCGGGGTTAGTTTACCGAAGGCTTATCATAATGTGTGTTTTGTCGCCATATAGGGACTTCATGTTTTTATTGGAGGAAAAGCTACTCGGACTCCAAGGACTACAATGGGGTAAGCTTGCCGTAGCAGTATCATAATCATTGTGCTCTGAAGATTTATAGGCATACTGCGCCACCAAGTTCGCCGTGTGCTTCTTCATGGAGGCACTGCATGAGGAGCTGAGAGAAGACCCCAGGGACTACAGCGGGGTTAGTTTACCGAAGGCTTATCATAATGTGTGTTTTGTCGCCATATAGGGACTTCATGGTTTTATTGGATGAAAAGCTGTTCGGACTCCAAGGACAACAATGCGGTGAGCTGGCCGTAGCAGTATCATAATCATTGTGCTCTGAAGATTTATAGGCATACTGCGCCACCAAGATCGCCGTGCGCGGCTACATCGAGGCACTGCACCAGGAGCTGAGAAAAGACCCTAATGCATGTCATCATATACTTAATTATAGGCACACTACGCCATCAATTCCACCATGTCTGGTGCCATAGAGGCATTGGACGAGGAGCTGCGGTAAGACACCACGGGCTGTAGCGGGGTGAGCCTACGGTTATAGGGCTATAGCTCTCATCTTCGTATAATGTCATCATATACTAGTCCTTGTCATGTCTGTATTATTATAAGTTTTCAAAGACTTCATGAAAGTTTTGCATGTGAAACTACGAGACTCCAGGGACTACTGCGATAAACTGAACGTTGGAGTTACCTTGGCGTGTTGTGGTAAAGGTGTACTGCGCTACGAAGTTTTGCATGCGCGGCTTCATGGTATTATTGGACCAAAAACTACGCGAGGACCAGGGGTTATTTTGGAAATAGCTTTCACTGCGACCAGCGTAACAAATCTTTATGTAGTTATATATACTTAACATGTAAATTTCGTACCTGTTGTCGGTGGCGTGAAGTGCAGGACAGCGAAATAGTTTGTTAGTTCATGACTTCGAACTAGGAATCCTTTTAGATCTCTAGGGAATAAAACGGAATGAAGCGATAGAACAGCCTAATCCTGTTGGTAGTTGTACCAGGCCAAAATTCAGAAAATTACTTTACATTATTCATTGGACCAACACCCTTCACGCACAATAAACGATAACTTTGTTCGACGTTATAAAGGCATATATTTAAATTCCCCCTAAACATTTATCCAGATCAAGATGACGGTGATATGCCCGTACATAATCGATACGGGGCTTTGCAAGCGGCCGCGCGTGAAGTACCCGGGACTTATGAAGATCCTGTCACCGGGCGAGGCCGCCGACAAGATAGTGGACGCCGTGCGACGAAACTACCACGAGATCACCATTCCCAGCTCCCTATACTACATCAACCAGGTAAACTGACATGTTGTTTTCATTGTTACCAACCTATTAATGTCCCCACTGCTGGCATTCATACCTTTACAATGGATGGAATAGGGAGACTTGGACGACCCAGTGACGCAACTGCCACGAGATCACGATACCCAACTCCGATTACTACATCAACCAGGTAAATTGTCATGTTGGTATCATCATCATCATCCTATTAAAATCCCCACTGCTGGCATACATACCCTTGCTATAGATGGAATAAGAAGACGTGGATGTCGTGTGACGCAAATACCACGAGATCACCATCCCAGCCCCCTATATTATATCAACCAGCTAAATTATCATGTTGTTATTATCATCATCAGCCTATTAAAATCCCTACTGCTGCCATACATATCCTTACTATATGTAGATGGAATAAGAAGACGTGGATTTCGTGAGTTGCAACTACCACGAGATCAGAATCCCCAGCTCCCTATACTACATCAACCAGGTAAATTGGCATGTTGTTTTCATTATCAACCTATAAAGCTCCCACCGCTGGCATTCATACCTTTATGGATGGAATAGGGCGACGTGGATACCCAGCGACGCAACTACCACGAGATCACCATACCCAGCGCCGATTACTACATCAACCAGGTAAATTGTCATGTTGTGATCTTCATTATCAGCCTCTTAATGTCCGCACTGGCGAAGCACGAAGCGGTGCTATGAATGAAATAAGAAGATCCATCCTCCTTCCATCTTCTCGTTTACCCCCTATAAAAAAAACTTATGACCACTATGATGATATTTAAGTAAAGTGAGATTGAACACTCAATCAACTTTCAAATTTATTTATATCTTCCAGATGTGCAGAACTATGCCGCGAAGAGTTCCCCTGTACCTAAAAGACTTCCTGGACTCTGGACTGGAAGCTGACTCGTAAACTGTACCCACCTACCGCCAACAACGCAATAGTCCAAATATAGATTTTTACGCCAATTTTACCTATCAACTTCTGTAGTAGTCACTATTATATTTAATACTACAGAAGTTGAACTATGGGTTTTGTTAAATTTTGATACTACGGTATTGTTAAATTTTGATATTCTTAACACCAAAACGGAATATCTATAGAGGTAGTTTTAAATGGCCAATTAGCTCAATTTGCCGCCACAATGCCTCCACAGCCAATGGCAAGCGTAGATTTAACATAACTGTTAAATCTCTAGTACCAAAGCCAGGGCTGATATCAAAAAACACAGCAGCTCTTCAGGCTGAAAAAACGGTAAAAATCCTGAAACAGATTTTCAACTTTAGTGGTTGGGTTGAAAGTACAAAATCAACGTAATAAGAGAACGAAACATTATCTAACTCGTTTACTAAAAGGGTGAACGGTGGGTGGGATTTAATAATGAAATTATTTTTGAAAATAAAGATACTTACTTTCATATATATCAGACCTGATGGCTTTTAACGCCGATCCAGAAGATAACGGAGAATACTTACTTATTTATTAATCAAACAGGATAACCGGATTTATAGGTAAGTAGGTAAACATTTTTTTCGTTAAGTAAATAATATCAACCAAGGTGCCTGATTCTTGAGTATAGATTTAAAATTTGGTGAATAAGCGATATGTTTGATTATTACTTTTAAGTCTCTAATTAAGAAACTTCATAAGCTCTATCAAATATACATAACGACAAAATGAAAATCTTAAAATAATATTTAAAATTTGCAAAATTGACTGTAGGCGATTCTGTAAAATAAAATGGCACTGCCGATTTCGATAGCTGCCATTTTATAGTAGGGGAGCCCAAGCGGGGATTTTTGGATTTACTCGAGCGTGGCAGCATAATATAAGGGGAGCAACCTTGCACCCAGTTAAGTACTCCCACGATACCTGAGCCCTCTATGTGGGGCCGAACGTCTAGGGCAGCAAAAACAAAATTTCAACGAACGGTCATGACTTTTGATCACGCCCAAATAGTCAGTCTTTTTAATATAAGCTACTAGAGGGTTCATGTAACGTTTCTAAGGACGGAAAAAATATTGATCTGCAGCGGTTTGCATGATATGGGGGTGGCCGTACGAAGGGGTAGAATATAGGAATAAATAACCGAGCGCGTCAGACATTGAGAAGGGATGTTACGTGAATCCTCCAGTAGCTCCTATTCAAAAGACTGACGATTTGGACCCGACCAAAATTCATGGTCGTTTGTTGAAATTTTGTTTTTGCTGCCCTAGACGTTCCCTACATAGATGGCTCAGGTATAGTGGGAATACTTGCAAGAAGCTTGTTTACTTGATAACTACGTGCAAGGGTCTCCCCACGAACCTCCGGTGCGACACTGTCACTTATGCAAAAAAAATGTTTTTCAGGATGAGCGTTTAAAACTTTAACATCCCAAAACATACAATATTTAAACATTTTTACGTGATGAAAAGCTTATACAGCTTAGCTATTCATCTAAAAAAGTTAAAAAAAAACTTTAAATATTGTATGTTTTGGGATGTTAAAGTTTTAAACGCTTCTCCTGAAAAAATGTTTTTTTTACATAAGTGACAGTGTCGCACCGGAGGTGCGATATGTTATTCTGCCGAGCTCGAGTAAATCGAAAAATCCCCGTTTGGGCTCCCCTACTATTAGGCATTATTTTGATATGCATTACGCTATTTCACGGCAAAATGTCGCTTTGTCTGTAGAAGCTAGTATTAGATATTTAACAAAAATCTAAATAAATGAAATCGAAAGTGAGATTGCATTTTACAGAATACCTATGCTGATCTCGAATATGAACATAATAAAATGACATAGTGCATGAGATCTTTAAGCTTTAATTTATGGATCTATTGTATCGCCATCAAATTATTATTATTATTATAAATATATTATTGAAATCATAATGTAAGTCTCTACAATACATGAGTATACCTATTTGAAAAAAAATATACAGGTGGCCCAACGAAGAAGTAATTTTTTTAAACGCATGTGTTGACAGATTTCAAGATAAGTTTGCTATATAAATGTAGGTAGGTAATAAATGTAGCATTGCCAATTTAAAATATGATATTTTAAAAATGCCAATTGCTTAGTTTACTTAGTTAAGCAAATACTTCACCACCTCTTACTTAGATCAGGCTTATTTGATTAATTGTTTATGTTTATTCCGCGAACACTTGTGATAGGTAATGGATGTTAATAAGTATTGATATCTTTAAGTTAATAAGTTTAATACTTATTTGCAGATTTTTTTTATTACTAAATGCAGCTACTAATCTATTCCTTAATTTGTTTTTATTTAATGTAAATAATAATGCTTATTATCATTCAAATATTAATTTGCGTTACGTACTAGATAAAGTTGTAAGTACAATTCTCACCTTTAACCACGAATCTCACTAATAATATTAATGAATATCTAATTAAAAATTATGAGTTTCTACTCATCGCTAATATCATTTATTAGCAAATATTTTGTATAATGTGGGAAGCAATATTATAATGCCAAGGTTTGTATGACCATATAATGAATCGAATATTTATTTTATAAGCTGTCCACACTAATTTGAATATATTGAGAAATTTCGTTGTTACCTTCAATGACAATAGTAGCTGTAAGAAGAAACTTGAACAAAGTTTAAATGTAATAAGTAATCAGTCTAATAAACATTATTATTAGTAAGAATGAAACGAGTGCATTTTTATATGTTTGTTGTTAATGTTTGTTTTTTATGTATTAACCCAAACAGTTTATTTTTGAGACATTTTTGTAAATATTTAGATATTTATTTAAATACGTGGAATTGACCTAAAATTGAAATATCTTTATAAATATCAGTTTGTGAGTGCCATTTTTATTTTATTTTTATATAGATATCATTAAAATGACATTGATTTATATTTTATAAGGAATGATTCTGTGTATTGCATGTGATAGTTTTAATATTAAATTTTAAGGTTGTTATTGTGTTGTTAAGTACCAATCAACTGATTCGACACACATTTGACTGGGTAGACAATAAAATATTTTCAGTAAACTAGATTTTTTTATTTGTTTTCAATCTTATCTTTTGACGCTACAACCAAGTTCCCATAAAAAAACCAGAATGAGATTTTCCATATAATAAAGGAGAATAACCAATAAATTATTTTGTTGAAATTTACCTGAATATTTTAAAAGGGTAATTATAACGAACTAGCAAACCAGTGAACCAAATGTTCACCAAAACCTGATTTAAAAAAAAAATTAATTGAGAACTTCGTAGATTTTGTGTGGTTTCGTTTGAAATTCGTGATTTCTCGAAAACCGGAAGTGCTACGTTACTCAAATCCGGTTTGTAGTCTTATCAGACTATTCTTAACTTATAACTTAAATATTCTCTTTATCTATCTCTTACGGTTTGGCCGCTGAAACAGCACCACAGACGGACGGACGGGCTTGTCTAATAGATAAGAGATTTTCTTTATATCTTTCTTTATTCATTTCTAATCTATATGGTGCCAAATTACCTCTCGGTGAATAATTACCTCTCGATTTGCAGCGCCTGTCTGAATAAATATAAGAATCTTCACCTATCAGCCCCTCTAGCATGACCACCGAAACGGGATATGATAAAGCGATATATCGGCATTATCTGTCTGTCAGACTACTGTCAAACTCCACTGTAGTCTGACAGTTAGGCGCTTTGCAGACGACGGGGCGGGGCAGGCCGGTTAATTTCGCCGCGAACGATAGCACAAAGTGAATCCTATATTACAAACGCACACAGAGGGCAGAAAGACCACGCCGCAGGTGCCCGGCGGGCAGTGGCGGCACGGCATGTTCGCGGCTGCCCGCCGTGGATCATACAAACCAGTTTATATGCAGTAACGCAGACGGCGGCGCGGGGCGGTCAGCTCAATCCGCGCCACGCGCTTTTTAGTGATGGACTATTCACTAGAACGAACGTCCTGAACTGACCGCCTCTGCCCGTCCGTCGTGTGCTTTGTGTACGCGGCGCGGGCAGCCGCAGACATCGACGGGCAGACGCGGTTTTTATTGCTTCGCGGACAAAATGCCTGCCTCGCCCCGGCGTCGTCTGCAAAACGCCTTAATGCCAATATATCGCTTTATCATATCCCGTTTCGGTGGTCATGCTACAGGGGCAGAACTCAGAAGGCCACAGGAAAAAATAACACTTACCAACGTATCTTCTGGTGGTGTTGTGCTTAAGACACTTACCAGACAATGTGTTATGATAAACGAGCGATTTAAAACAATGTTTTGTTAGTTAGCCAGGTAATTAATAAAATACATTTTGTATCCTATTGTTTTATTCCAAGATATATAGACAGATCTGTTCCTCTAACATACATTTGCATACAACTTTATACAATCTACACATGATAGGGTAAAGATATACATAGACATGACTACCGAGTGTTTTGGCTTTGATTAGGCAATAATTAAATCAATAATTGTTTTAAAGCCCTAGTTACATTGGTTGAGTATTAAGTACCTAAAATAACCAATGTTGACTTGCGCTTAAGCCTTGAGTTAGAATTTCGCACAGTTATTCGCATTAGCCTAAATTAAAGATAGCAGTATATCCTTTTGTATTAGGTTATACCTGTAATGATAGATGTAAGTGATTATTAAATAAATAAATAAATCTTTTTACACTGAATGAAAGGGAGAGACTGCTGTCAGATTAATTATGGGCAAACACAAAAAGCCATTTAGTCATGTTATGTAAAACAGAATCCTCAATTTTGCCAGAACAACTTTGATACAATACGGATAGATTTTTGTATCTTACTTACACTACTCACTGACGTTATAGTTATATCGAGTGTTTTCCCGTTCCTACATCACAAATTTACTTTAAAAACAAAAAGTCGAAAAAGATTTCAATACGTCAGCCAACATAGGTTGATGTCTGCTAGCTTTTTTTACAAGTTTATGATTATAATTGTTCAAACTTCAAGTTTGTACTTATTATCCAAATAAATGTTTCAGTTAGGAATATTATTTTAGGAAGTAGGTGACTAATGCTCTATACTTAATTTATTTTAACAAACGCCATACATACTTAGTTTACAGCTTGCCAGCAAGATATAATGTTTATCAGCATTAATTGCATTCACCTAATTGGTCAAACAATAAAAAAAATGCTATTGCTAATAGAATAATTATATAATATAAGATATTCAAATAGACAACAACCTAATGCTAATCATATAACAATATTTTAACATAGATGACGTCGCGTCGGTCAATTCTTCAAAATATACCATTAGGTAAATATTAAGAATTATTTAAATTCACACTCATTATAAAATTAATATGAGATTGAATTACCAAAAATTTTGTTCAGATTAAAATTTTGAAATAACACTTAAGATGTGAGCATAATGAATAAAAGCAAAATCTATAAATATCTTTTTTATTTGGTTTGAACAACCTTCGTACGTTCACATAGCACATAGTAAATTACATATGACTCGACCACTGTCGTTCGAATCTTAGCCCCTCTAGCATGACCACCGAAACGGGATATGATAAAGCGATATATCGACATTACTTGTCAGACTACTGTCAAACTCCGTAGTCTGACAGTTAATGCCGATATATCGCTTTATCATATCCCGTTTCGGTGGTCATGCTAGAGGGGTAGAGATGAGTCATATCATAGTGTAATAAATACGCGGTTATATGAGGCACACTGCGAGTGCAAACGCAGGTGAACCCTTAAGGTAAGGTTTCGAAGCGAGCGTCAGTGACGCCGTGACAGAGCGTCAGACAGAATTTCTATGTAAATGACATCGTCAGTGCCGCTTTGACCGATGCTGACATTCTGTCAGATCTGACGCTCTGTCGCCCAAAGCTCACCTTTATAGAATAAGTAGCATTTCACGTTTTGCTAAAAACATCTTCAGCGGCCCTTCGTTTGATTACTTTTAGATGTAAATTATTTTGTTTTAACATGACTAGGATTGATTAATAGCAAATAGCCTAAAAAATATTTACGCGTAATTAAACGTTCATTAAACACTGTAGTCTAGATTGTACTTAGAAGTTTGTTCTTTTCTTCTAATACGTAGTTAACATTGTACATAATTATTTAAGCGAACATTCTAATTAATTAAAATAGTTGACTAGACAGACACATTCTATTTACAGTTTAGTAACTGACAATAATAAATTGCTTTAACAATAAATGCGTTTATTTATCCTTTATTTTAGTAAATCATGTTATCATTTAATTTACAAACTAATATTTATATGTGTGCCAAGCCAGTTTTATCGACATTTATGTCGCTTTCACAAAAATACATCTTTTTTAAAGATATTTTATTATTTAATATATTATTTATAACACTTAGAATTATGACGGTAATGGAATTGTCAACCTAATGTTAGCTAAAGCATAATTATTTTATTTTAGGAATGTTATCAATTATATTACTATAGTATAGTTTTCAGCTTGTATGTGTATTCAGTTTTGGAGTCCAATTTATGTATATATTTAGGAAATAGAAGGCAAAATATTGTTCTATTCTGTCGGCTTTAAATATGGAAGGTTATAAATACCTTATACATAGCTAGGTACTTCACTAACTCCACATAAATTATAATAATAGTGGTAAGGAAAAAAAAACTCCATATAAGGTAAAAATATTGCCACAAACTACCAGTTAAAAAAAACTCGTTTAAAAAGAATACGTTGTAAAAAGTCTTTACTTATTTTATATTTCTAATAATCAAAATATTTTATCTACAATAACTTTGCAATCTGCAAAATACGTATTATTGTTTTAATCATTTCTTAAGTTTTCTATCTTACAATTTATTTATGTATATTAAGTTTATTTAAATATTATGCAAATATATTAATAATTGACAATCACATTAAACGCGTAGTCATGAAAGAGATAATAAACAAACATATTTTTAATTTTGTGGGTATTTCAAATTAGTTGTTGAAATAAAAGATATACACAATGATTGAGTTTAAACTAGGTATGAAATAAAAGATAAATTTTAATGTTGTTATCCTCAAATGAACATAATGCTAACTAATGCATAATTATTTTAACTGAAAGTTATAAATTTATTATTTTATATTTAAATTTCTTAAATGAAATACAATTTATAAAAAAAACTTATGGAATAACTGAATTGTTAGAATATCAGAAAAAACTTATTTAGTTGCTTATCTTAAATTTAAAAATATTGCACATTTCGATAAGATACTAAGATCCATTCCATCTGGTCCACTAGCCTTCATAATTTCACAATTATTGTGCTTTAAAAGTAATCAATAATAAATAAATAAAATATATTTGATAGTTCAATAAGATGATGAATAGTAAACGGATAAACAGTGTTTTATCCTCTATACCAAAATAAATACAGCAAAATAATACTTAATCCAAAATATAAAAAAAAACCTGTTTTAGACTAAAATAATCTTTAATTCAATTCGTATAGTATAATTTGAAGAAATTAAACAATGTTTTTGATGGAAGACATATACCTAGGTAATTTATGATGAAAATAATTTACCTATTTTTATGTTTGATATTGTATCGCATATATTACGATTAATAATTCATGTGTAAATACTTACTTATTACATTATTTTTTAATGATAAGTATAGGTACATAAGTTAGATTTACCATTCTAGCAGAATTTGAAAGAAAAATATAATCATTTAACTGATTTTTCGTTATGCATGATACACGAAGCCAGTGTTTTTCCATTCTTAAAGCAAATACATTTTGACATGAATACTCATCTGGTACTTATTTTATTTTTTTATTAATTTATTCAGTAAAGTATTTTTAAAAAGAAAGCGTTTGTTATTTATAATGTGATCTGCCAGCTTTCAATTTTAAATTAATAATAAACATAAAATTTTATATCCTAATTTCACCAATACACCTACTAATATTGGCATGATGACAGGACATGACACTTCGTGTCACAAGTACCCACAATTTCGCCACAACGTCAACAAGTATTAATAGTTATATAAATATTTGTAATACTTGATTATTTCTAACCATGCTACACACAAATATACACCAACATTAGCACTTATTCGTTGCCAAGTATATTCTAATATTATTTAAATCCATTTTGCGGGATTTCTAATAATTATGATCATTTAACTACTATTTTAATTTAATCCAAAGTTTTTTTACTAACTTCAAAAATGGCATTGTCATTTTTTGTAACAGTAACGCCGAGTTGTTTCATCGTCAGTTTAATTTGACTAGAGTTAAATCCTTTAAAAAAGCCATTTGTCAAATTTTACACATTTAGGTACTATGTATTTCGGGTGGCGCATGGCGTTAACTATAGTCAAATTTGACTACTGATGAAACAACACAGCTTTAGTACCTTATTTGACATTTGTCACTTGTTTACAATATTTATTTCCTAAGTTTTCAAGTAGATCAATCATTAAATAAAATAATACTCTTTGAAAGGGTTTAAGTGCATTTTATTATTTTCTTTTAATTTTACTTTATAGTTCAGTTTTAAAGGCTCCGAAACGTCAAGTTAAATTAAAAATAATATAGTAAAAAAATGGTTGCCTGTAAAGTCGGTTTTACGGGCGAAGATTTTACGTGACAACGTCTTTTTCTCGGTAGAATATTTATTGATATGAATATAATTAAATTGCACAATAGGAACAAGGAATTGAATGAAAATAAGAATTGCACAAATTTTAACTATAGAAATATATTTTGTTTACTAAAACATTGTACATGTAAACTTAAACTTAACACGAGAGACTCATCGTAACGTTACCGAGCGTTACACTTTTTCATAAGTGACTCCCAGCCGCAACCTAATTTAAGACGTTGTCACGTCAAAAAGGTACTTATTACCATGGAGAAAACTTATCTAAAGAAAATTTTACTACGATAAATTCTACGCGCACTAGGCATAAAAGTCTTTTCGCATTCCGCCCGGCCTAATGCCTGGACCGCGTGGAATTTCCTGTAGTGTAATTTTCTTTACATTTATATATATCTAGCGGTTAGTTGGAAATAAAAATAAATCATAAACTTCAATAAACTTTATTTTCATTTTACGTTCACTCATGTACTAGTTACCTGTATAAGTATTCTGTAAGATGCAATCTCACTTAGGATCTCATTTATACGGATTTCTGACAAATGTCAAACATCTAATTCTGTCTGCTTCTACAGACATCGTAGCGACATTTTGACGTGACAACGTCTTAAATTAGGTTGCGGCTGGGAGTCACTTATGAAAAAGTGTAACGCTCGGTAACGTTACGATGAGTCTCTCGTGTTAAGTTTAAGTTTACATGTACAATGTTTTAGTAAACAAAATATATTTCTATAGTTAAAATTTGTGCAATTCTTATTTTCATTCAATTCCTTGTTCCTATTGTGCAATTTAATTATATTCATATCAATAAATATTCTACCGAGAAAAAGACGTTGTCACGTAAAATCTTCGCCCGTAAAACCGACTTTACAGGCAACCATTTTTTTCCGTGTAATGGGGTAATGCATATCAAACTTATGTCTTAAATGGTAGCTATCGAAATCTGGAGTGAGATTTTATTTCACAGAATCGTTGACAAATCTGGAAAATCGAATGAATCGTTGGTCACGGGTGCCTGGTAGCTCTAATGACCTTTAAGCTAAACCTACATAATCCACAATTTTTTTGTCGTTAATCACGAATATTTTCAAATTGAACGCTATTCCAAAATATAAAGATGTTATTTTATAGCTTATTGTCCATATAATATACAGGGTATAACAAAAAAGATAAGTTATTAAATAATAGGAAGGATGTAGGTAGCGATTTTTTACACATTTAAGAGCGTGAAGTGTCAATTTATTATTGGCTTTCCAATTTATATACCTAATTATTTTTACTGTCCATCATGTCATCAAGTTTGTTAAACTTTGGTTACGCAATGCAATATTGATTTATAAAATCCAACATAACATGGTTAGCATTTAAACAGGTCAGATAGGATGTTGTTAGTCTATTTTATTTTCACATATTTTTTAATACATAATTTAAATAAAATATCTTTTTTTTAAGGACATTCGACATAAATAATGAAGGAAATAGGTATGTATACACCCCGGCAAAGTTCTGGTGCAACGACCACAGGCAAGAAAGCCTGCGCAGTAGCAATTTTACACAAAAAACGTCGCAGGTTTATTTGTCTATTGTCTTGTTCAATAAGTTTGCCGATACCTATACTAGGAATTTAAACAATAAGTTTAGCCTTATTGTTTGGAACCTTTGTGCCTCACCCTGTAGACGTTAAGCAATGAGCTGAATATTTTCTTTTCCATAATAAGATAAATATAATATGGAAAAGTTAGCGTTGCGCTGCAAAGTTCTTCATTATCATTAAAGATCTACAGCCGTATACTTTATTCAGCAGTATAAATACGAGTTATCATAATGTAACACAATCACGTCATGTTTTGAAAACTGACTTATAAGTACTTAGTTATAGTATAAGTAAAGGATCTTTGCATAATATTCGAAATTGTGAAATTTTAAAGATGTTCTTGTGCTAACACTCTAGGGATATTTGCTTAATAATGAAATATGTTAGACTGCTTAAGCTCAAGATTTTGTCTATAATGACTAAAGTACTAATAAGTCAGTATTCCATTAGCCGCACGAAATATTCTAAATCTCCGTGCCAAAAAGTATTTACCCTCGACAATGTTACGCACAACTTTCTGAACTAGACCCAGAGTTGCTTCCAGCTTTCCCAAACAAGTTCCTCGCGTGCCGTCGATATCTTAAAATATGTCGACATCTTTGAGATGCTGATAGTTGCGGTCCCAGTACCCGCCGTTGTAGAGCCAATCCTCTTGCTTCGTGTAAGGGTTCGTGCCTTGGCTGAACCACCTGTAACAATAAGATGGTACAGTGTCACCGTAGTGTCACAGTATAAGGAATCGTTTCTACAATAGCTTGTCCTTTTGATTTCAACACCTGTTTAAAGCATGGTAGTGGCATCGATGTCTCCCGGCTCCAGCAGTTGTATGAGATTATTATGAAAATGAAAAAAAAAAATGAAAAAAAAAAATCTTTAATGCTTACAAGTTCCATATAAACATGTTGTTGAGTATCCCCTTTTAAGTATTATACTTGTATTAAGGGATACTCGCTCTTTCGTCAATGTTTACATTGAACTTTACTATAACAATTATTGACATTAAAATTATTTCCGAAAGAAAATTAGACAAGTTCTAATTGATCCCGCCCCCGTAGCATGAGCACCACAATTCACATTGTATCACGTCTCATATCGCGTCCAGCTGTCAAACTCCAAAGAATTTGACACCAGAGCGCGACAAAACATTATAGGTGAATGGATATACCTGGGCTGCCACCCGTCCGCGTTCTTCTTGAGGAGCTTCCTGGCGGTACGTTGCTTCTCCTCCAGACGCGTCTTCTCAGCAGCTGCTCCGTCGATGTCTCCCTGCTCTAGGAGACGCACGTCGGGCCGCAGCCGGCTGTCCGTAGGGCATAGCTGCCCTTTCATGTCGCGCTCCAATTCGTTCAGGGACATCGCGAACTCGGTGAACTGGTAGTACTGATGAAGTATGCAACAAACAGGTTGGTTAATGTGGATAAATAGATAAACGGGTGAACTCAGGGCAATGAGTTACGAGAAGGGGATTGCCGAGTCAATGGTTATCGGTAAGCGAGTACGGTCTATGATTATGGAAATTAAGAAACTTTTCTAATCTTAAATAAAGTGAAGAAAGGTATTGATTTAAAATATGTCTTTTTCTTAAATTAAACTTAAAATAAGAAAATATAAAAGGTTAAAAAAGGAACTACACCAAAATACAATGATAGAGAAGTGGATAATAGTAATTCTGAAGTCGTAAAAGTAGCATTAAAACGTCCTTTTTGTGTTTGATAGTTTACTGCTTTGGAATCTATAACGTGGTTCGTGTCTGTCTGTGTATCTGTATGGAGTTTTCCGTATTTTTTTTTTGTTTTCTCTTATGTTACAAATTACTACATGACCAAGTTTCTAGACTTGGATGCCTAGAAACTTGGTCATGTAGTAATTTGTGGTTGCTTAATCCGAATTTGCGGTCAATTTTGGGATTGCGATTCACCCAGGAGACCCAGGGTTCAGGGTCAGGGTCAGGGTTACCATAACATTATTTTTTTGTGAATCCGAATTTGATATGAAATTGAATTTGATTTGAAATTTAGAGGTCCAGGGGTGACTAGGAAGGATCAGGGTCACCCAAAAATCGAAATCGATTTATTATTGTTAAGATATCATAAATATCAAACACCCCGGAATTGCACGACAGTAACTAATTCATATTTTTTTAATATATTGTCAAGACCTTATGAACTTTACACTGGCCACAATTTACCTGAGCGCTGTTAGTAGGCCTCGGCCGGGCTTCCCAGAGCGTCACGGAATTTGGTATGTCGATATTATAAGATTCATCGGGCTTGGGGACTTCATCTGTATTATCTGGTTCGTCGTTCTGAAAATATGAAATATTCAAACATTTTTCAAACACAAAAAATATCAAGAGACTGACATCAGAAACAAGTATTAATATTCGTATTATAAAATTTTAAGAAGAGATCGCCCGATGACGTGTCTTGCTAAAAGGCTCTTCCGGACGGAAAGGCTTTTGTCCTGCTGGTAGAATAACATTAGACCTGCTAGAAGCTCGTAATTTGTATCTATAGAGTTACAACTATAAAGCTTTCCAGCTTACGATTATATGTATAAGGCAGGCATTGGTAAGGATTAAAGAAAAGAAAACGGCGCGCGCAGGAATGCGCTCACCCACTGAAGGGCTAGTATGCCCTTGAGCTTAAGTGCGCCCACTTTGAAGCTGTTGAGTTTGGCGTGCACCTTCTTGAGCGTGCGCGAGGGAGTGTTTTGCGTGGCTGCTTCTTCGCTGCGTTTCTTGGACCACTGCTCGTACGCTGCGGAGCTGCAGCACTTAACATGATAGACTAGATAATATTGCACAAAGTACTCACATCTTGTATGGACATGGACCGCAGCGCGCCCACCTTAAAGCTGTTGAGTTTGGCGAGCACCTTCTTGGGCGTGTGCGAGGGTGTGTTCTGCGCAACTGCTTCTTCGCTGAGCTTCTTGGACCACTGCTGGTGCGCTGCGGAGTTGCAGCACTTAACATGATAGACTAGACAATATTGCACAAAGTACTCACATCTTGTATGGACATGGACCGCAGCGCGCCCACCTTGAAGCTGTTGAGTTTGGCGAGCACCTTCTTGGGCGTGTGCGAGGGTGTGTTCTGCGCGGCTGCTTCTTCACCGCGCTCCTTGGACCACTGCTCGTGCGCTGCGGAGCTGCAGCACTTTATATACTCCGTCCATTTACCGTATAGGAATCGGAGGCGCTTTTTGCTGAAAGGCAAGTGGATTCATAGTCAACCTAATTTTATTTTTTTATACAATACTAGCTGACCCAGCGAACTTCGTACCGCCATAAAAATAGGGGCAGGTGGTAGAAGAGAAAATTTAGGGTTGTATGTATTTTTTAATACCACATTATAAAAAAATAAACATTGTCCAAAAAAACTTAGTGTTCTATCAATTTCCTGGGATTACATTCCTCCTAACCCATATGAGAACACTACGTTACAATACCCAATAGTTTGAATTTTGGCGCGAAGGCGCATTATAGGTTTCAGATCACTACGTTACAGGTGGACAACCATTATCACTTATGGATATGAAAAATAGTAGCCGATTCTCAGACCCACAGAATATGCATATAAATATTCATAAAAATCGGTCAGGCCGTTTCGGAGGAGTACTAACATTGTGACACGAGAATTTTATATATAAGATATAAACATATTTTGACAGATGTTAGAAACTTTTTTTAGATTCACTTTTGAAAAGATGTTTCTATAAAACTTATTTAAACATTACCTCTTCTAGACACTACTAAAGTTATTATGCCGTTAGAAAATACTAAAAGTAGTATCAGCTTTTTGTGTCCAACGTCCGACGTACTTTGTCCCTGAATGATAATTCAAATTTAATAATAGTAATGAGTTATATTTTTATTCTGTTATGATCCTATTGATACTTTCTAACATGTTATTACAAAATATTTTATATTGTTAACAATTTCGCCGGTAATTCTATGGTTGTCAAAAAGACCAAACGTTGGTTTTCCATAGTAGGACAGATTATCCCCGTGCAATGATGGAACATAAATAATAAAATACCAATTTCTTACATTTGCAAAAAATGGTTTATAAATTTCTAGCGTTTGAATTTTGTCTCTGTAAGGAGACGAAGTTGTTCGCCGTTGTTTAGTTGTCTTCTTGTCCTAAAAATCTCGCATACACAGTACTATCGCCTGCTTTGCAATGATTATACCCAAGAAGAATAAAACATTGATATGTAGAAAAAAAAGTGCGGGAGATTAGATGGGACCGTGAGGCACGCCGGCATTTACTGACTGGAGCCATGAGCTACTGCCATTCGTAAGGACCAGAAATCTACGTTCCTGTAGGAAGTTACCCAGGAACAGAACTGAGCAAGCAGACCGTATGCCGGACGTTTGGAGAGAAAGCTACTTTAACATTTTTAGTTCCATTATTTTCATTAGACAACCAGATATGTCTATTGGATATCTAAGTTGTCCCCAAAATATGATACATATATCGTAATTTTTTTATTTCATAATTTTCCAAAGATACAATGCGGGTGATGACGGGGTAGTCCGTCAGTTAGATGATCAAAAAATAATGGACACGTATTTTTTCTTTGGGCAATCAACCAAAAAATGACAAAGTTATAGCGCGTCAAAGTTTGGAAGTAGGGGCTCGTGACGTCACTTTTGAGTGAATTTTCACTTATAAGTGTACTTAAACGTGACCTCATGCGACTTTTCAAATCAATATATCTTTGCAATGTTTATATTATGTGAAAAAAGAAAAAATACGTGTCCAATACTTTTTGATAATCTACCTGATAAACGAAGAAAAAAAATAGTCATCATCCCTATTAAGACATAACAAAGCAAAGTATTAGGAGTATTTTTTTATATTACTTTTTCGCGTTTTGATCAAAAGTTTTGATTTTGTTAAAATAAGAGTTGTCCCTGGGGACATGATTATGGGAAATATTTTGAATTTCGTGAGATATATGCCATTTATAAAGATAGAAATGTAAACTGTATTAATCAATGAATGTAAGTAAAGTTATTGTTGTAACAAAAAAAAATCTAGTTTGTTAAAAATACTTTTAAATAGTTTTAATTAGTTACGGGCTGGTAAAGTTATCAGAGTAAAATTAACTCAATTCTTAAAAAATCAGCTGCTCTGCTCTGCACATAATCATATACAAGACCAATTTAAATATGGAAAAGAAGAAGAAAAAATCCCAATTTACATCCTATGAATATTTAAAATTTGATTCACCCAATAGCATTAAAAATTGTTTGCAAGTAGAATGTAACTATGTAATACCCAGCATCTAAATATTGTTTCAAAGAATTTTAAATTGTGATAGGTAATGTTAACCAATTTAATTAAGTAAACATAAAAAAATAATCGATTGAAATTTAAAACCATACTTTTATAAGTTATACATCCATTAATACTTTACTTAATGAAAGTCTGAAGCGACATAACAGAAAACGACAGTAAATGGAGATCTGCCAGTTTCCGCCGTCACCCCTTATCAGCTGAACTTTCACTGGAATGAGAGAAAATGAGGCTGCACCGGGCTGGCGCGCTGCCAAAATACTTCTCAGCGAAGCTTTCACTTCCATAAACAACTGGAATTTCCAATAGCTTTGTATAAATGAGATATCATATTTTTTTAAATCGGTAAAGTAAGTAAAATACTGTCTCGAGATGAGCAGTATTGTATTGTTTCGTATCTTTTAAACTTTCTTTCTCAGCATGTTAAAGGTCATAGCAGACATATCAACTCGGAAAGGGATCGATAAAACTGACAGGTCTCACTTAGAAATAACGATGAACCCATCGACCCTGTGCAGCTGCCGGTATAAGGGCCTTCGAGTTTCCCATTTCGCCGCAACAAGAGCTTAGCCAAAACTGATAGAACTCACTTAACGTCAACGATGAAACCGTCGCCCTGTGCAGCTGCCGGTTGTTGAGCCCCGCCGGTATGAAAGCCAGCGAGTTCCCCTTTTTGCCGCAACAAGAGCTTAGCTAATGCTGATAAAACTCACTTAACGTCAACGATGAAACCGTCGCCCTGTGCAGCTGCCGGTTGATGAGCCCCTCCGGTATGAAAGCCAGCGAGTTCCCCTTTTCGCCGCAACAAGAGCTTAGCTAATACTGATAAAACTCACTTAACGTCAACGATGAAACCGTCGCCCTGTGCACCTGCCGGTTGTTGAGCCCCGCCGATATGAAAGCCAGCGAGTTCCCCTTTTCGCCGCAACAAGAGCTTAGCCAATACTGATAAAACTCACTTAACGTCAACGATGAACCCGTCAGATCGGTGAAAGTTCTGGTTGTTGAGCCCCGCCGGTATGAAGGCTAGCGAGTTCCCCTTTTCGCCGCAACAAGAGTTAGCCTAAACTGACAGTACTCACTTATCGTCAACCTTTTCGCCGCAACAAGAGCTTAGCCATAACTGATAAAACTCGAGCTCCCCTTTTCGCCGCAACGAGAGTTTTTTTAAACACTTATTTATTTATTACATTTTAAGTTGATGAATATAACATAATTGTGATGTAGAGGATTCGATAGAGTAGCCCATCAGAATCCGAGGCCGCGTCGAGATGCAGCCAGAGAGGTCGAATAGGTGGGAAAGACAGGGAGAGGAGAGGACGGTTTAATAATAGTGAGAGGCGAAAGAAGAGGAGAGGAAAGGAAGCGAAACAGAAAATAAATAAAAGGTTTAAAGGATGGGAGTAAGAGTGTAAGGGAATAGGTTTAACAATCTTGCATGATATACAGCCATTGACGAAATAAATTCAATATTAAGTGTCTCACAGACAGAGCCAAAACTGACAGTACTCACTTAGCATCAACGATGAACCCATCGACCCTGTGCAAGTCCCGGTTGTTGAACCCCGCGGGCTTGAAGGCCAGCGTGGCCTTGAGGCCGGCGCCACCGTGACACACCACCTCCATGGGGCCGTACTGCTCGATCCACAGCTTGCCCACGATCACGTTGTGGACGCAGCAGTTCACGTTGCTCCAAGTGTATGCTTCTCCCCATCTTAGATAAAAAATGTTGAAGTTTGATAAAACTACTGAATATGCTTATGCTCCTATTCCAACCAAAAAATTACAGGTTTCAACAGTTCCAATTATTTAAAGGTGCTTTGCTATATGGAATTTTATATAAATCACCAAGAACCACATGTAGTCTGTGTATGCAATGGCGACGCTAGGCTATGGTACGCCCGTGTACTAAGTTAATTAATCAACCACGGTGCAGCGTTGGCTCAGCGCGCTATAAGACATCTAGATGAGACCGCTAGAGTTAGATAGGTCTAGCGGTCTCATCTAGATGTCTTATCTATAGTTTCTATTATCTATAGTCTCATCTAGGTGTCTTATCTATAGTTTCTATAACAAATCGACTGTATTAATAATAAATAATAAATTTAAAAATTAATAATAAATTTCTAACACTCACACCAATTAGCATAGCCCCAAGCTAAGGTTTGTGTTATGGAATATTAGGGTAATGGATAGAATACATATACTGTACATATATAAGTATATTTACATATAAATACATATTAAACATCCATGACTGGAGTACAAATTCTCGTATTCATCACACAAACATCTGCCCCACCGAGATTCGAACCCGGGACCTTTCGAGTCGGCGACACCATGAAACCCGGCGTACAAACCACTCGGCCACGGAGGTCGTCAAATCTGCAAATATTGCATCTCTTCTATCTATTACTCACCTAGGCAATTCGACAGTGACGTGTCCCTTGGGTTGTATTTCAACACTCTTGCCGCAGAACTTCAGCTTGGGGTGTACGGAGCCGTGGAACACAAAGTGGGGGCTGTCGGCGTGGAACGCGGACACTGGCGGGTGGTGGGATACCTGACAAGAAAAAAGAAAAAATCTAGCACTTTCTTAAAGCTTATTTTTTTTTTTAATCAAATGACATAGCTATATAGCCATCCAATACAAAATATTGCGGCGCATAGAACTTTTCCACTGTTTCACGGTGCTAAACTATTAGCGCGCACGCCACGAAGCGAAGCCAGCAGCGACGGAATCAGCGTAAAGTCCAGCGTACAGAATGCGCGCAGATATTATGAGAAGTACAGCATTGCGGATTTTTTGCTTGAATTGGAGCACCGGCTGGGGAAGTAACATCCATCATACTGAAGACCACAGTAAAATAACTCTTTTGGTGGTGTTATGTTTCTGTAGGTGAGCAAGGTTCCAGGGTTCCACGGGGTAAAGGACTGGGTCTGGGTAGGCAACATCATCATCAGCCTATTAATGTCCCCACTGCTGGGACTTTTTGGTAACACAAGGGTGACAAAGAAGCAAACACTCCGCCTGATGGTCTACCGCAACCTATACCATCATCATCAGAGATACAATTTACGTGTTGCCTACCATGTTTACTCTTCATCATCAACCTATTAATGTCCCCACTGCTGGGGCACAGGCCTTCCCTATGGATGGAATAGGGAGATTGGGTCATGACCCACCACGCGGGCCCATTGCGGATTGGTGGGTGCTAACGACTGCAGATGCAGCCAGGACCAACGGCTTAACGTGCCTTCCGAAGCACGGAGGAGATCAGATAGTAATTTTTTGTTCACCCATCCAATGACCGACCACTGCGAAAGTTGCTTAAGTTCAACGATCGCAGCCGAACGCGCTAACCACTTGCGCCATCGAGCTCCTCCAGGGTAGGCAACGGTGTGAGTGATATTTCATGTATCGCAAGCGTCTATAGGCTATGGCCGCTTACCATCAAGCGAGCCATATGCGTGATTGCTACCCTTTTAATATAAAAAAAGATCGTCATCGTCGAAGCGCTCATCGCTAAGCCTAAAGTCGTGGTCGTTAAGGCTGGAATTGTCGTTAGTTTTGTTAAACAGGCAACATCTTTTTATGTTAGTGAACTTAGCACATCATTTCCCAGCAGATCAATATCAAATGTGAGTTCTTTTCGCATGCAGCAGAGTTCTATAGTTCCTGATACTTTTTAGAAATAGTTCTGGAGTTTTTAGGCGAATAATGACAATGAAAGAATGGTCTGCTAACTTCCCGTAGCATATCATTATGCAGCAAATACAAAACAAGTGTGACTTCTTTTCCAATGTAGCTGACTGGCTGACTTTTTCTAAAACGTGTCAGGAACTATAGAACATAGTTCCTGACACGTTTTAGAAAAAGTTCTGACGTTTTTCGCCAAAAATGTCTTTTAACAAAATGGTCTGCTAACTTTCGGTATTTCAGTGGATTAAAGAGAAATTCTTGCTAATTGTGCGCTGTGGTTGGCAACTGACCTGCTCGCAGACAGCTCTGAACTCTGGTCGTTCGAGTTCGTATGTCTCGCCGAGTAAAGGGTTGAAGGGTTTGCCAAGACGCTCCCAGTTAAAGGCCAGTGCGCTCACAGCAAAAGCTGAAAGAGAGTTTCATAGTTAATCTATAGCTATACTAATATTATAGATAATTAAAGTTTGAGATGTAGTCTCTGCATCTAAACCGGTTTTAAAAATTCTTTTAGAAATAAAAAGCCTTGTTATTTGTGAGTGTCATATGCTGTATATTATAAAAAAAACTATAGTCTACACCGAAGCGAAATGAAGGCGGGCCACTATTCGCTATGTGCGAAGTACATGGTGGGGGTATAGTGAAGCGATCGCAGCGCTTATCGTGGCAGAAATACGCAACAATCCGGGAAAGTAAAGTCAATTTGCACGGAGTTCGTAATAAACAAAAATTTTTTAAAATGCCTATTAATAGATGTTGTTGTGTTGTGAATTGCAAAAATAAGGGCACAAATAGTCTGTGTATATATTTCCTACATTGGACTGGAAATTAAATCAAAGAAATAAATGGATAGATGCCATAAAAAGAAATAAGTAAGCGAAATAACCTTAAATTATGATCAATTTTATTTGCGCTATATATTTTATGTGATATTCATTATTGTCTTTATTATTTTAGTGTTGATGGGTCGCCATGGTATCCCAAACCTGACGACACAATTTGTAGTGAACATTTTATGGGAAACAAAAAATCAGACGAGGAAGAAAATCCGAGTTATGCTCCTACGATATTCCCTGAAATATATCGAAAGAGGAAGGTTAATGATTCACAGGTCCTAGCTAGATATACACGCTTGACAAAACGAAGAACCACAAAAGTCTCAGATACCACATCAAGTCAAATAATAATTGAAGAAGGGAGTGAATTAAATCAAACTCAACCTTTTATGATCGATCAAGGATGTCAAGTCAATATGTTTTCTGAATCGAAATTAAGAGATACAACTTTTATTTGTATTAGATTAATTTACAGTGATCACTGTGATCCAACATCAAGAATTTTAATGACAAATAATTCAAGAAAGAAAGATAAAAGCTGTGGCACTGACAAAAAATCGTATGAGGATCAATCTACCGAAACAAAAAGTCAAGAATTTGTTGGTATTTCATCAATAACAAATGATCAAGAACTCCTAGATCCTTCTGGTGTGTCATTTAGCAATTTTGAGTTTTTATTAACAAGATTAACTATGAGAAAATGTACAGTTTCCACTAAAGACCGACTTCTGATTTTTTTGATAAAAATGAAAACTGGCTTGACATTTTCAGCATTGAGTGTGTTATTTGGTGTACAAAAAAACCACAATCTCACGTATATTTCATTCGATCTTACAAAATCTAGCTTGTTCAACTGCTAATTTAATCTTTTGGCCGAATAGAGCCACCGTACAAGCACCAATGCCCAAGTGTTTCAGTCCAGATTACATCAATACAAGAGTTATTATTGACTGTACTGAATTCCGAATTGAAATCCGACATTATTTAAATTATTATACAATATATAATAATTTTTATTTATCTTTACCTTACTATATTTACTAGAAATCAATAAAATACAAACTGATGTTATTATTTGGCATAATCCCGGAAAGTTGCGCATTGTAGGTGGCGCTACTGTCGTGCACATAGCGAATACACAGCGACAATATGACAGTAGTAATTTTTCAGTTAATACCTACTAAATTAAATATTGGTTAACAAACATTACCATCGTAGGTATATGTACTAAACTCAACTTAAAATCGATGCTGAGAACATTGTGAACTGAACTGAAATACAGGTACAATTTTAACTGTAACCTAGTTCAGGCATCCATTATTTTGTACTTTATATTATTATGCAATGTATGACATTATTTGAATAAAGATACATTTTATTAAAAAAAAATGTATTAATCATATACATAAAAAATATGCGTGTATCCAGTTGGAGAAAATCAAATTTGGAATCACTTATTATTTCGTCGTCTGGATACGCCAAGATTTTTTACTCGTTTCCACATAGGTGTTCTCTTACTTTACTGACCAGCGATATACTCCATCCTTGCGACAGGGTCGGTCTGCTCGGAAGCCATGCGCAGCAGGTGCGCGTACTCAAGATACTCGAGCATGCGCTGCAGGAAGGACAGCGGCTCGTTGAACACCACCGGCATCGTGATCTTCGACAGCTCCTTGCCCACGCAGTTCTTCAGCACCGACCACAGGGAGAAGTCGCCGCGACTGAATTGAGCCACTGGTAACGAGGTCCTGGGGACAAATTGAACACGCACGCTCAGTGACATACATATAAGTAACTATAAGTAACTATACCTGTAAGGCCTTCACAGTACCGTTAGCACGAACCAATGTTGAATTCGTATAGTTATAAATAATAACAAATATTTCCAACACTCACACTAATTAGCCTAGCCCCAAAGTAAGCACTGTAAGGCGCTTTGCAGACGACGGGGCGGGGCGGGCTTTTTGTCCGCGAAGCAATAAAAACCGCGTCTGCCCGTCGATGACTGCGGCTGCCCTCGCCGCGTACACAAAACACACGACGGGCAGAGGCAGTCAGTTCAGAACGTTCGTTCTAGTGAATAGTCCATCACTAAAAAACGCTTGGCGCGGACTGAGCTAGCCGCCCCGCGCCGCCGTCTGCTGCATATAAACTGGTTTGTATGATCCACGGCGGGCAGTCGAGGACATGCCGCGCCGCCAGTGCGGGCAGCTGCGGCGCGGTCTTTTTGCCCTCTGTGTGCGTTTGTAGTATAGGATTCACTTTGTGCTATCGTTCGCGGTGAAATTTACCGGCCCGCTCCGCCCCGCCGTCTGCAAAGCGCCTAAGGCTTGTGTTATGGGATGCTAGGATAACGGATAAAATACATATACTGTACATATATAAGTATATTTATATAGAAATACATATTAAACATCCATGACTGGAGTACAAATGCTCGCATTCATCACACAAACATCTGCCCCCACCGGGTTTCGAACCCGGGGCCTCTCGAGTCGGCGACACTATGAAACCCGCCGTTCAAACCACTAGGCCACGGAGGTCGCCCAGTTGAATTCAATTTCCATATTTATCTCTATTTTGAGATACAGAAATTTATACAGTTAAAAGTGGGTGTATGCAGTAGGTCTGAGAATGGGATTATTTTTATTTTTGGGCCATAATTTATTTATTTTATTTTTTTATGATTCAGCATTAAAAATACATACAACTCTAAACTTACACTCTTCTACAAACAACCCCTTATTTTATGACGGTATAAAGTTCACTTAGTTATGGATGACATTTATGTCTCCATAACAGTCGGAATTAATATAACATCCAGTGAATGTATAACATTTACAGCAATAGGAGGGCACCCCTAACCCCTAACCCTCGGGGATGACAGTTTTGAAGGGATCGACCCGAGGAATAAGGTCAAGGTCGAAGGAGTACCTCGGGATCCCCAATCCTGTTATATGTTTCTGACCTAGTTTCCGTCTCTCTCGGTTCGTCTTTGGTCAAGGTCAGATATCAGGGTCGACAAGTATTGTCATTCGCTTTGATAGAGGAGAAGATATTATATCAAGTGCTTTTGATGTAACAATAAAGGAACGAAATATTGGGGACTTGCAAAAAAAGAAGATACATGCTAGCAATCCCGCTAGTAACAAAAATTAACATAGAAGGTAGTGACCATGAAAGCTTAAAACAATAAAGGAATGACCCAGTGGGAGTTAGACTCTTACAGTTCTGTACCCACGTTCAAGGTTATTGAAATTTGCAATACCTTTAGCTACCATTGCGGCAAGCTCCTACGGCTACGTTCCCTGAAGACCCCATTTATTTTTATTATTCGATGTTATAGCGGCAACAAATTTAACATTCTGTGAAAATGTCTACTGTCTTCCAAGCTATTATAGTTCATGAGAACATCAGAGAACATTCTGACAGACAGACGGAAGACAGTACAGACTTAATATCAGAGTTCTGTTGTCATTCTTTTTTGTAAGAACAAACATTGTGATTTAAAATTAGAAAACGAATTTTAAATAAATTTAAAATGACTCCGGTGGATTCAGCGGTAAAAAGTGTTTTTTTTTGTTTGGTGACCAAAAGGACGGTATAACAGTAAACTGGCATTGAATGTTAGGGCTTGAAGCCAATCGTTTCATCACTATCCGTCATTATTTTCCAAGTAGGCTTTACGATACCTTAGATTAAAACAAAAAGAGAAGATACGGTACGCTAATACTAGCATCATATGAAATATGCTCCGACTCAACTACATAAGCAACTCTCATACACACACACTTCTTTCTTTAAATAAACATTCAATCGACCGAGCGAAACGGAAATGTACGTCGCTTGGCAACGGACTGCGTTTTCTTTTCCCTCTCTACATAAGGCTGAGCTGTATTGTTGTCCTTTTCTTGATAACAAATAGCGAATAAGCAAATAACATTTGTGATTATTGAAAAAAAAAAGTTTTTATAGTTTTACGAATAAAAGGTGTTGCCGTGAAAGTTATTTGATTTTGAATTATTTATATTCAAGATCAAATAACTTTTTTATAACACAGAATATACGCAATATTGTTAATTGAGTGTACATACAGCGTAATTGAATGTCTAATTTTGACTAAAGCGAATTGTGGTCATGCACCACAATTTAAGCGGTACACTTTTGAGCCGCGAGTGCCGTATCTTCCCTGTTTGTTTTAATCTAAGGCTGATACCCAATTAACAAATTACCACATCATAAGAATCGTTGCAGCACTCATGCGCCAATAAATAATAAAGCTAATAACGTCGCCTTTGTGTCGAGAGCTTCCAGGTTAATTTGGTTTTATCGAGTCCCAAATTCGGCTTTAATGTCATTAGGAGAATTTCCAAGCATCGGACAAAATTCATTGTACCGTGCATTCGAGTCAGATTAAGAAGTGGAAATTTTAATATTCCATTATTCTCCATATTGGATATTGGGAAAATAATTGGATAACTTGGGCTTGGGCAAAGACTGCTTTCATTTAAATAATTCGATATTCCGAGTTTAAAAACGGGAAAATTCAGATACAAAGATAAATTATTGACTTTATATACTCTTGAGGGTAAATAGCGACACCTCGAGTACAGATATTATTTTATTCAATTATCGAAATTTATACACTCATTGTAATAGTATACAATGCGCAAGGTTTACAGGCAAACTAGTAGTAGGAATGAATTATCTAACCAGATACAAAATTATTGTACAAATAAAAATTATTATTGAAGCACCTAGTTCCTGGGCACTTTTTTTGATTACTTTTGTTTTGTGTAATCTTATTATTTAAAATTCCTTTTTTCTCCTTTTTTCTTTCTTCTTTCTTTCTTTGTCTTTGTGAATGAAATTAAAAGAGCTACAAAATAGCAAGGATACTGCTATTTTGTAACTCTTTTAATTTCAGAGTCACTATTCCTTCTATCTACTTATGCAGCAAAGCCGGCAATTTTTTAATTAAAGGAGCGCTGGTTTAATTAGACTTTAATTAGAGACCAATGGACTGCACTTAAAGTACCTACAACTGCTTTTCTTGCAAGCTCCAGTTTCCAATACTGTATTCTTAGTACGGAAGAAAATTAGCATCAAATATCCGGAATTTCATGGTTAACCATTCGCTTCCACTGTTGCACAACAGACTAAGACCCGTATTATAGAAAGATTCTCAGTGATTGATCTAGTCTTGAGCATAGTTAAAAAGGGATGTCGATATATCAACCTCAACCATCTGCGCAACTGAAGAATCAGTGGAATCTTTAAAATATATGCTATTCCGGTCAAGTGGACGTGAGAACTCTATTGTAGTGTTGACTACCTCACAGAAGCTTATCGAAAAAACCAATTCGTTACATTTCGTGCCGAACATTCCAAGTAACATTAGAATACGTCACACCAACATTCTAATGTAATAAGAAAAGAAGATTAAGATTTATATTTATCTATACGACTGAAGGACTTGTATCCATGGCCATGAATAATTAAAAAAAACATTATTTCGGCTTCGACTGTACAAAAATCATTATAAGGACGAATAATTATTACAATAAGAGATCTGTATTCCACACCGCATTGATGAATTTAATTTATCCTTTTCTAAATATGCTCAAGACTAGATCAATTACTGAGATTTTTTCTATAATACGGGCCTAAAAGAATCGTAAAAGCAACAAAGTCAACAGACATTAATAAAAATGGTTCAAAGACGCAATTTATGCGAGTGCCGAATCATTATAACATGTCTTGAGGGAAAATCGCAAAGCTATAACCGCAAAGAGGAAAGAATATTCCATTTTACGTACAACAAATGATTTCATTTGGAAAAATCGTGTTACACGAGGCACTCGCGGCAACTGTGTTATCTGCGTACGTTCATATAAATCACAAATATGAGCTAACAAATTGACGTTTAAAAGCTAAAACGATAAAAGAAATCGAATTCTGACGAAAGTAATATCATAATAAATACGGGAATACAACTTTAGATGGCTTGATAGAATTTGACTTTGAAAACATCTTAAAGCAATGAGTTTGATGTTGGCATACTAATTGTTTTCATAATTATGGGCAGTTTTTTTTCCAGATTTCATCGAGTGCGATTGGCGTCTTATTTTAATTTTTCTTTAATTGGTTCATAATGGATATTATGAAATAAAATTGGTGTTATTTTGTGTTAGAACCATCTACGCAACTGAATCTTTAAAATACATGCTATTCCGGTCAAGTGGAATGACAACTTTATTGTAGTGTTGACTACCTCACAGAAGCATATCGTAAAAACCAACTCAATACATTTCGTGCCAAACATTCGAAGAAACATTAGAATGCGTCACACCGACATTCTAATGTAATAAAAAAAAAAGATTTAGATGTATTTATGGCTAAGACTGAAGGACTTGTATTCATGGCCATGAATATTTAAAAAAAAACATTACTATGGCTTTGACTGTATAATACAGAATATCATTACAAGGAGGAATAATAATTACAATAAAATATCTGTATTCCACACCGCATTTATAAATTTAATTTATTATTTTTCATCGTTCCGTGTGTCTGTCTGTCTGTCTGTCAAGACCTTTTATCTCGGGAATGCGAAGAGATATCAATCTGAAAATTAAATTACTCAGGTCTACCACAGATCCTTGAAGCTGTGAAAAATCAAACTTCTAAGTTAACTTCATAATAACAAATTAAGGTCGTTCAACTGTCTTTTTGTCCCTTTATCTTA